AGGAAGGTGAAGCAAAACTTCTACTCTTTAAATCTTAGTTGTGCACTAAACTTAAAGAATTACATGATGAGAGGATTTGATCTACCAGAAAAGAATTATGATAAACCAGTGGTAACTAAGCAATAATTGATACAAATACAGACAAATAGGCTAATGGAAAAAGCAGAAATAGATCCATCCTTGCAGAAGCACTTGAGTTAATGGTGAGATGGCACTGCAGGAGAATAGGAAAAAGATGGTCTTTTCAATAAAAAGTACTGAGTCAATTGATTATCTATGTGAGAAACAGGAAACTGAGCACTTACTTTCAATATTTCCTTTAGGGTTTGCTTGCTGGTGAGTGTAGCTTTTATTCTTCATTCAATGATTATCATTTTCCCATTTTATTTTTATAACATTTATAACTCTGTGAAATTATCCCATTTATCTGATTACTTTGAATTGTTTATCCTGTTCCCACTACAATACAAAGTCCTTGAGAACAAGAATCTTGTCTATCCTGCTCATCACTGTGTCTGAAGTGTCCAGAACAGTAAGCTTTCCTTCCACAACAGTAAGCTTTCAGATAAATAAACAGATGCAAAAATCTGTCAGAAAAATTAGGAGTGAAAAGAGCAAATAATCCTTTGATCTAGTACATGAAAGATGAAGAGTGTTTACTTGGGAGAGCCCGGGATTGGGTAATGATGGGAAACATATTCTAGATGGAGAGCATAGCAAATGCAAAGGTCACAATGAATGAGTAAGAGAATATCTCAGGATGACTTTCTAAAGGGGCCATTCTTATATGTTGTAAGTGGACATTTTTTTTTTTACAACAATGGCTATCTTATTTATTCAGTCATGGGTCTAAAATACGTGTATTATTTTCTCTTTATTTTATGCATGCCTTATTTTCCCACTAAAATATCAGTCCAGAATACTAAGTCTTGTTCATGTTCCCTCCCTAATTCTCAACCTACTCCAAATCAGGCCTGCACAAGCATATTTTATTTAATACTTAGATTACTTGGTATATCTAAGTCTGGTTTCCTAAAATGCTTATCAATCAAATTTGTTTGCTTATTTCTAGTACAGATTCCTGGGTACTCTTTCTAAAAGGTTGAAACAGAAGGTTGGAAAAATTAGATACCCAGTTCTCTTCCCTGGTGAGTCAGATACAGAGTAGATATGGGGACTCCTGAATTCTAATCTGAACCCTGGCTAACCAAAGTATGGTTCCCTGACAGCACTGACATCAGCTATGAAGTCATTAGAAATTCTGAATATCATGTTCTACTCCAGATATACAGAATCATAATCTGAACTGTTTTAAGATCCTAGATAATTCTTATGAACTTTTCTAAAGATTTTTATTTAATTGTAATAATATCTAACATGAAATATAGCCACTTTATAAACTTTAAAATATATAATTCAGTATTGTTAATTATAGGTACAATGCTATATAGCATTGTAGAACTTACTTATCATGCATATTTAAAATACATGCCCATTCCTGTTTCCTCCTGCCCTCAGATCCTGGAAACCACCATTCCACTCGCTTCTTGAGTTGAACTATGTTAGACACCTTATGTAAGTGAAATTGTACAATATTTCTCCTTCTTTAACTGGCTTACTTCATTTAATGTCTTCAAGATTTACCCATTTGGGATTTTCTTCTTTTTAAAGGAGGAATAATGTACCATTTTATGAGGATAGCTATTATCAAAACACAAAAGAAGCAAGCGTTAGAGAGGATACAGAGGAATTGGAACCATTGTACATACAGTTATGATAAGGATAAATCTAGAGATTTAACATATAGCATGGGGGGTTATAGTTAATAACATTGTGTTTCAGTTTCTTTTTTTTTTTTTATTCTGTTAGTAGAAATCCAAAATTGTGCAGCCATTATGGAAAACCGATGGAGGTCGCTCAAAAGATTTAAAATAGGACTACTATATGGTCCAGCAATTCCACATTTGGGAAGTTGATTCTGAAGCATCAGCCTCACTTGGGGTCTTGTTAGAACTGCTGCTTATTTGGCACATCCCAGATCTACTGAATCAGAACCCCTCCTGGTGTGGCTTTACTAATATATTAACAAATGCTTTACACTCTAATCTAAGAACCACCAATCTAAACTATAATCTTTAGTTTGAGAACCACTGATTCAAGTCTTTAATCCTGCCTTTAACTGACCATTTCTAATTTTAAATAATTCAAAACGTATGATTTTTGACTCCACAATTATACTTCTGGTGTCAGTGCAACTCTGAGAGGGTTAAAGAAGACAGGACATATAAAAATCTTTGTATCTAATGCATATGGGACAAAATGCTGCATTTACGGCAAGAATTGGAGGTTTTCCTTTCTTCCCAAGCTGGAGAGAGTTTTGGAAGGACTTTCTCAAAGGGTAAACATAAAAGCAAGTGGTGGGTTGGCATAAAACTTCCTTAAAGACATATTCATGATTTTTCCATAGCTATTCTAGAAAAGGTTTTACTCCCACTTTGACTTCTAAATTGTGAAATGCTTCCACCTCTGCAAAATATTTTCCAGTGATTGTCAGTGTGACGATAGGAAAGTAAGCAGGTGCTTCAGTTCATTTAAAGAAGCAGCCAGAGACTATCAGCTCCAGATGTTTCTAAATATGAATGTGATGGATGGGAGGGGGAGGGGTATGACTCCATTTTATACAGATTGCAAGGTAAGATATGATTCTTCTTTAAAATAAAATTCCATGGGGCATTTGGTGGCATGGTGATTCAGGTGGCTGGATTTCCACATGGCCGAATGCACGGTTTTAGGTCTTGGACCAGTGGCTTGAGAAACACACTGACCACCTGTGTGTGTGCCCAAAATTTTGAATAAAGAAATGGAGGAGAAGGGATTGCAGTTCTGGGTGACCATTCCCCTTGGGGAGAGTACTTTCTCTCTCTCTCTCTCTCTCTCTCCATAAGCATGCAAGCCCCCTAGCAAATTTTAAAAAAGGGTAATACAACTACTTTACTATCAATTTTCCAGGCTCAGAACATTCACTTGTATTCTGAAAAATACTAACTAAAGGCTTAAAGAGGCTTGCTAGTTTGTTAGGGAAGTAAAATTCGGTTGCTTCAGAGACCCTGCATTTTCTTTCTCAGAATCACTCCTTCATTTAAATATATTAATATGATATAATATATTATTATAATAGATAATAGTAAGGTGTTATCAGGTTTTTAACATAGACAATTATATTTCTTTTTATTGTATAGATTTAAGGTATACAACAGTTAAAGAGCTTGTTGGCAAAGTCCACACTGATAGTGGACTTCAGATGCTCTTACCACACTATCTGATAAGATGTTTTGATATACTATGATAATACATAAAATCTACTCTCTGACCAAATACTTGGTATAAAACACAATATTATTCACTATAGCCCCCATGCTATAGATTAAATCTCTAGATTTATCCTTATCATGACTGCAAACTTATGACCTGACATCCCATTTTCTCCCTGTCCCAATAACCACTAGTCTATTTTCTGGTTTTGTGTTTTTTTACATATTTTTAAAACAGATTCTACATGTAAGTGAGATTTTTATTTATGTATGGTTTATTTATTCATTTATTTTTTTTTTGAGAGGTTTTTGCTATAGGGCATGTGTGCTCACCAGACAGAGAGAGACAGAGAGACAGAAGGTGAGAAATCACCCCCCGGGGGGGATGGCCACGCAGCAATCCCTTCTCCTCCATTCTCCTCTCGGGATCTTGGGCACGCACGCACACGCGCTTGGCATGGGTTTAAGCCGCCGGGTCCGGGACGTGAACTGTGGTCAGCTGCATGGGAGTCCAACAACATAGCCATTACACTAACTGCTGGTCATTATTTATGTCAGGTTTATTTCAACTTAGTATAAGGTCTCAAATTCACCAGCATTGTCCCAAGTAGCAGGATCTGCTTCTCTTTTAAAGCTGAGTAGTAGTCCATTGTGTGTATGAATTGCTTTATCCATCCACCCATTGACAGACAAATTAGTTGTTTTCATATTTTGGCTATTGTGAGTAAACTGCAATAAACTTGAGAATGCAGGTATCTCTAGGAGGATTTGAGTTCATTTCCTTGGGGTATGTTCCCCAAAAAAAGGGATTGCTGGGTCACATGTTTGACATTGTGGATATCACATCAAAAGCTCAGGCAATAAAAGGAAAAACAAATGGGATTTAATCAACTAAGAAACTTCTGCTCAATAAAGAATCTATAAAATGAAAAATTGGCATACAGATAGGGGAAAAATTGTGAACCATATGTCTATTTAGGGGTTAATGTCCAAAACACATAAGGACCTTCCAGAAATCATTACCAAAAAGAACAAATACCTGATTAACAAGTGCGCAAAGAATCTGAATGGACCCCACCCCCTCACCCCCCAGGGAATACAAACAGTTGAAAATGTGCTCATCATTGCAAATCATCCAAGAAATGGAAATCAAAACTACATCCAGTTGGAAAGGCTATTATCAGAAAGAAATACAAACCTTGGTGAAAAAAGAGAAACTTGTGCAACTGTGGCTGGACGTGTAAACTGGTACAAACATTATGGATAACAATATGGAAGACCCTTAAAAATCATAACTGGTAGAGGATCCAGCATTTTCCTTTACGGATTTTTTATTAATTCAGAGTAATTACTCTAAACTGGACTGTTAGACATGAAAGGCAAAGGCCTCCATGTCTTGGACTTCTCCAGGAAGAGTAGGAGGAGGTTTGTTCTCAGACCAGTGCCTGACCCCCCCTGGCCGACCACCCTGGCCCTGCACTCTGCACTCACGGGCTCAGCAGCCTCAGCACTTGGTTCCCAAAGACTACCCCGCTCCCCGGGGGACCACCAGGGGGCGGCCGGGCCTCCCTCTGAACCGCCCCAGCAGGGAGAGGACGCTGCCAGAGAGGAAGTGCCCGGGGTCCGGGCAGCCTGCCAGGGTCCTCCCCTGGCCAGCCCTCGCCCCGCCAGGCCGGAGCGCAGTGGGTTCCGGGTCCTGTGACCGGTCAGGTGGCGTCAGCCGGCGCAGTAGAGGGCGGGCCTCGGGGAAGTTTCCGCGGCCGCCGGGACAGGGACGGGTTCAGGCGGCCCGAGGGCGCAGCAGGGAGCGCGCAGCTGGGATAGGGCCGGCGCAGGCCCGAGGGCGACCCGGAGCGCCGCGCTCATGGCGGGCGGGGGGGGCGGGGGGCCCCGCGGCG